GAGTGCAAAAATTCCTCTGTGTACTAAAAAACTCACCAGAAGACATCAGAGTAGATGAAAATTCTCAGCCAACACTCCAACGTGAATAAAAAAGTAATTTATGAATCAATTGCAAGACTAAAGCAACAGCACATCGACCAGAGTTCCAGGAAAGGAGCATCACCATGCACTAAACTAAGGTCAAAATGGATTAAAGAACTGAACATTAAAAGAAAAACACTAAATCTCCTAAAAGAGAAAGTAGGAGGAACTCTTGAAGACTTAGGGATAGGTAAAGAGTTCATGAACAAAAATCAAATCACAAGGGAAATACCTGAAAGAATTAACAACTGGGACCACCTCTTATTAAGAAGTTTTTGCAGGTCAAAAGAAATTACCACTAAAGTGAAAAGACAACCCACAAACTTTGAAAAAAATCTTAACTAATAAGCACTCAGACAAAGGTCTGCTCTCTAGAATTTATAAAGAACTAAAGAACATTAGGGTCCCTAAATTTAAAGACCCAATCCAGAAATGGGAATCCGAGATGAACACACACTTCTCAGAGGATGAAATTAAAGAAGCAAATAAATATATGAAAAAATGCTCCACATCACTAGCCATCCGTGAAATGCAAATTAAAACTACACTGAGATGCCATCTCACCCCAGAAAGAATGGCTATCATAAAGAAGTCAACCAACAACAAATGTTGGAGAAGCTGTGGGGCAAAGGGAGCCCTTCTCCACTGTTGGTGGGAGTGTAGACTGGCACAACCATTATGGAAATCAGTGTGGAGACTCCTTAAAAAACTAGGACTGGAAATCCCATTCAAGCCTCTTATCCCGCTACTGGGAATTTTCCCGGAGGAACTGAAAGCATCATATCATAGTGATATATGCGTACCTATGTTTATAGCAGCACAATTTGTGATAGCTAGATCTTGGAAACAACCAAGATGACCGTCACATGTGGAATAGTTGAAAAAGATGTGGTATTTTTATACAATGGAGTATTACTCAGCTATAAAGAATGATAAACTCGAAGCCTTCATATTTAAGTGGATGCCACTTGAAGTTATACTTATAAGTGAAATAAACCAGACCCACATGTGTAAATATTATATTGTCTCCCTAGTATAAGAAAGGGGCAATAAGGGTCGGGAAAGAGGCAATAAGGGAGATGACCTAGCATACTAGAGGCCCTTGATTCCATTCATAGCACTACAACAAACAAAGAAAAACAATTTCCTACAGACACACATCTCCTGCAGTGATGTCAATGGATCCACACCAGTATCCACCCTACTCAGTCCACTCACACCTGGACTTGGCCAACAGGGTGTATTTGCTTCTAGGTCTTAGACTCACTGTCAGGATACTGAGGCCTCCTCAAATAGAGGAACTTCCCCCAGAGATTTGCATCATCCCTCTTAGGACTCAAATGGCTAAAACATTGACAGGAAGTTGCCTAGCATATATGGTCTCAGGAAAATATAATCCAAAGCCTGAAAATCCTTTCACAGACCAGAACCAAAGACCCTCATTTTGGAGCCTGTCTTAGATTTCCATTTCTGTGACTGTTGTAGAATGATGAGAGCCATGAGAAGAATGACAGCAAGGCTGGGTGAAATCAGCCACAGGGGTCTCAGATGTCTTATCTGTATGAGTCCTGAACTGAGCATGCACAGCATATTTATGGACAACCTTAGAAAGTATTAATCATTGACAAAGGTCACATCATGAGATCTTAATCAGTCACATATTACAGTTATCTTATGAAAGATTTCCTCGTCTGATCTCTTAAGATAACATCTCTTAAGATTATTCTGAGAAACCAAATGGGATTGTTCTGTCCTGAGAGCTTTCTGCCAGGTGAACAGCCTCTTTTTTGTTTTCCTTGAATTTTGTCTTTAGAGATCATATGAATCATGCAGCATATAACAATATATCATAGAATAATTTACATTTAGACTCAGGGTTTCAGTCCATGGTTTGTTAGTGTTTTGGTTCTGTGGTGAGTCTGAATATTATGACGGAAGATGTGGAAGAAAGCTGCTCCCTCATGGCAGACTGGAAGCTGAAAGAAACCCCAGGCTAGCTGATTTTCCTCTTATGCCTTTGTGTCATCTAGGATTTCACCTTATGGATAGTGCCATGCTGAGGGAGGACAGCCCTTTAGTTTCCTATCCCACAACATGCCAGTGCTCCAGGGAAACAACTTCATCTAGCCTGGAGATGTGAACCTTGTGTGGAAGTGATGCAAGATTTTTCAAGCATCATCTCTAAAGTGAGACAGAATGGCTCTTGAAAGGTGTTACCATACATAATGAACAAAGTAAATAACCTTTTATATACAATCACATAGCAAAGGACTTGAGACTATTTGAAGTCTGCATCTCAAAACTGAGTCTATTATACCATGCATAGTTTCTAAATATTTCAAAAATCACTTCAAAAATGTGAATTACATAGAAAAGTTATGTGGTTAAGTGGTTATATTGCTGTATATCTCCAGCATCACATTTCTATACAGCTTCCTCTAAACATTTTAAAATTGTGGCTAATGCTACTAGTTTTAGGAAATAATATCATGTCTGAATGCTTGCCCAACCAGTGTCTGCTAAAGAGCAGAGAAGGAAAAATACTTGTAAGGAGGTTCCTGGACACAGCCAAAAACATTCACCCCTTAACTAAATATATCTTGTTTAAAAAGAATACTGATTTTGAATACTACTCCACAAAAAGTCTGAATATTAAGTTTCATATAAATTACTATAGATTTATTATTATCAATTATTTAGCTCACCCCAAAGCAGATCCTTCACGAAGCCATACTTTTATTAATTTTAATTTGAAGAGGAAATAAAAAGGTTCAGCTTTTTCCACAGTTACAATTTCAACCATTCATGCAGCGATCCACATTCAAGCAGTAACACACACACACTGATACACAATCTCACCCCACACAATCACTCTGCGTATACACAGGTTGCTGTCTCAAGCCCACAAAGCTACACATAATGTTGACCTGCACTTCTCTCCCACATCAGTTTTAACCTGCACACAGTTTCCCTGTCACCTTACTCTGGCATGGTCTCCTTCACACACAGCACTTCCCCTGCCCTTACAGAACTGGGCTCGAGGCTGACCCTCCTTCAGGTTCCTCGGTCAGTTGGTTTGGTCTCTCACACGCTCAGGTCCCACAGTTGCAATCTCTCTTCCAGAAATTCGACACGCTCTATGGCTGTCAGTCTCAAGACAGCGTCCCCACTTTGAGAGTAAGGGAATTCCACGCAACTTTCTGGGTTCAGTCAGTCTAGACACGTCGATCACGCCCATCAGATCCCCGGTGAGGTGTTGGAGTACGTTTCCCAGCAGGCCCTGCGGCTAGATGCGTCCCTCCAGGCGTTAGAAACCAAACAGTTGAACCTTAGCCGCTTTAGCCTTAACCTGTATCAAAGATAGGTTACACAGCACAAATTAAGCAGAAGCGGGACACTTAATTACAGAGTAATAAGAGTTGGGTGTCTTTTGTGCGTGCCGGTAATCCAAACACTCTGGAGAATGAAATGGAGGATCGTATTTGCCTTCATAGCAGCCTTGCCACAGAGTCGAGGCCGTCTCAGCAATTAAGCAGTATAACAGTCGCCTTTGAATACAATAGTTGCTAAGGATTTATAGCCCATGGGGAAGGTACGGAGTCAGAGGATGGTAAAGCGTTAGGAGGTTGTGAGTGTGTCTAACGTAAGTTTTAGGAGGAAGACACCTAGCCAGAAAGAAGGTTCATAATCTAATCCTTTCACTCTTTGGAAACCTCGTCCCCTGAGACTTTCGGAAGGTTCTGATGAGTGGCTCCGCAGGAAGCAAGTTTGTCCTCTTCGTGAGTCCGTACCATGGGAAAACTCTGCACTTAATGGTAGGCATTCGGTGCCTTCCTGAACTACACTTCCCACAGGCCTCTAGGTTCTGTGCTTTCTGAGAATGCCCGGTTGGGGAAGAATCCACTGCGTTCAGACAATCTGCTTTATGAGTGCTGGATTCGACCAGTTTGCCGAAGGGAAGAACGGGGCTGACTCGACCATAGGAGGCGTAGGTGAGGCGGTTACGAACACGTAGTTTTGGAAACTCCGGAGTGCGAGTCGGAAAGACGCGGGGGAAATTGTGAGGATAGTGTGTATTAACTATTATTGTGTGTCTGTCGGGGGCGTGTGTGCTCGTTTACGGAATCATTAAAGCGGGAAGGAGGGCTTCATTTGCCGTTATGATCCTGGGCGTGTGAATGGAGTTTGTGTGTCTGAGGTGTGTTTGTAGGTATGAGATTTCTTGAGTGTTTGCTTTCCTGTGTATTATGACCATTTTCTGAAGTATGTGGGTGGGTGGAGGGGAATGTGTAGGAAGCCTTAACTGAGATTTGTGGCTATTTCCCCGTGTGTGTGTGTGTGGTGGGGGTGTGTTCCTGTGGATTTGTTGCTTTCACTGTGTCACAAGATGTATGGCATGCAGGTGTGAGACTGCGGTTCTGACTATATGGTATGTGTTTTGTGCACTTGTGTGTTTTTGCGGCTATTTTTGGTTTAGTTTTGGGATGCCTGTGACTTTTATGTCCTTTTGGTGTGAGTGAATTTGTGTAGCTAGGTGTCCGTATAGCCACTTTGGTGTGGAGCGTCTTTGACCCTTTGGACTGGAGCCATAGATGCCATCTGTCAGTTCAGGGTTAGATTCTGTCCAGAAGTGCAGCTCTCCTACTTGGTTGGATGTAGCCGTTGAATACGATGCTGAAGACTTCTTTGGCCTCCCTCTGTATAAGTGGGCTCCAGAGGCCTAGCCAGGTTGACATCTGAAATGATCGAATGTGTTTCCAGAAGAGTCTGGTGTTTCCTGATTCCTTCCTCCTTCCTCAGCTCTGCCGTGCTTAGATGGAGACCTCCAGAAAAGAGTAAAGAATGGCTGTTGAATTGAACATCATCCATAAAGCATTTGCAAGGTAGCTTGTCCTTTCCTCTTGTCTTCTTTATCTTTGTCAGGACATGACTTACTTTCCTTTTCTCGAAAATTCTTGCCCTGATTTCTTTTAGGAACTGTAGAAGTTCCAAAATCTCACTCTCTCTCCCTTGCCCACTTGATTGGCTCTTATTGTCAGATGGTTTTTTTAATCCTGCCTTAAAAAAAAATACAATTTTTATGATTATAAAAGTGAAACATGATCATTTTAAATACTTTCAAGAGTACAGACATCCTAAGCAGAGGATGTAGGTTGGTGGTAGAGTACTTCCCTAGCATGCATGAAGCAATCAATCCCTAGTGCCAGGGGAGAAAAATAGTACATAAATTCTTAAATAAGAAAACAGATTTTCCACTGCAGCTAATGCTAACTTTTCAATATTTATTTCTCAGTATATGTTCATATAAAATATTTTTAATTGAATTTTCATAGAATTTATCATGCAACATATCCTACATTTTCACAAAGTTTAATTTTGGAAATATTTTTAGAGATGCACTGTATTTGAGTGCTTATTTTCTTCAAAATTAGATACAGAAATGGCACAAAACATCCATTTGTGTAGTTTAACAAATAATTATAAAGATCCAAGTAAAACTTAACCAGATCAAGAAGTAGACTGATTATTTTAATTTTTGTCAATTTGGTCAGTAACTAAAATTATTGTTTAATTTATGTCTTGTATTATAATGAAGTTGAGTATCAGTTCTTGGGAATTAGCATATCCTCCTTTCCAAAATGCTTCTTTAGATATTTTTCCAATTTTTATTTGGGTTATTTTTTTGACTTATAGCAGTTTATATATATACTAATATTTATGTGGATACATGTATATGTATGCATGCATCTTCTGAATATTAATGTTTTCCAGTTACGTATGTGACAAATAATTTTTCCTCGTTTGGGTCAGATTTTCACTATCATATTGTCTTTTGTTGAAGGTCTGCATTTTAATGTAGTGACCTTTTCCTATGATTAGTATTTAAAATTTTTTCCTCTGCCTTGAGATAATGGGGATTTTCTTTCGTGTTCTCTTCTAAAAGCTTTCTAAGTTTTGGTTTTAACATTTGGGTCTTTATAACATCTAAAATTAGTTTCTATAGGGTAAGAATCTTTTTTTTTTTTTTTTTTCGGTACTGGAGATTGAACATAGGACCCTCTGCTTGCCAGGCAAGCACTTATTCTACTGAACTATCTCTGGCCCTATAGGGTAAGATTCTATTTCATTTTTTTTTCTGTGTCTGTATCCACTTGTCATAGTATCATTTATTAAAAATTAGATCTTCCCTGCACTGATACGCAGTACTATTTTAGTTAAAATCCAGAAAATTTTATATATGTACAGAGTGTAAAAAAAAAATTGTATATACTTCAGGAAAAGAAAAACTTGTATAAATATTTTAATACTAAATTTACTGAGATATCATGAGATTAATACATGTTACCTTTGGCCTCTACAATTACAAGAGGTGCTCAAAGTGGCTACTAGCTTCCAGGTATTAATAGTACAGCAAATTGCTGCTGGAGTAGCCTTGGTCACGGAGATTGCTGCACATACATTTTCAGTTTCTTCTTTAAGGGGCAGCAGTGTAGTGAGTTTTCTGTGATTCTCAGCATCCTCTAGAGTCCCCTATATGAGGGTAACACTCTGGTGAAAAAACATTATACTGTAGCATGCTTTTTTTTTTTTTTTTGCTCTGAATACCTATAGGACAGGTTTGACTGGCTTGAGTTGTGGGGATCGAGCATGCATATTTTTTGATTCCTTATTCTGTTCCATTGGTCTGTTTGTCTCTCCTTGCAATAATATCATATTCTCTCATTCACTGTAATTTTATACAGTACTTGGAACAGTCTTCTTACATTGTTCCCCAAGAATGTCTTATATGTTTTTATTCCTTTGTAATTCTATATACATTTTTGAATTAGCTTGATTCCATCCAAATGTTTCTTGGGGTTTTGATTATATATATGGGTAAAATTTGGGGGACTAAAAAAAAATTCGGAGACTGTTCTAGTAGTATGAATTTTTAAATCGACAGAGGTCTTCTTAATATTTCTATGATTTTACATAAATGCTTATTTAATGCTTATTTTCTGTAAATAGTTTTAGATATTTAGGAATGATAGAATCTATTCTGCAGTCTTTTTTTATTGACTGTCAGGAATCCATACACTTAGATAATGACCAATTGTAGTAAAAATTGTGCCCTATGGTTTTTTTTGTTTGTTTGTTTGTTTGTTTTTTTGCGGAACTGGGGATTGAACTCAGACCCTTGCACTTGCTAGGGAAGTGCTTATTCCACTGAGCCATCTCCCCAGCCCTCTATGTTTTTTATATTAAGTATTATGGCGAGTTTTTGTCTTCTACTCCATCCTTCTCCTCCTACATTAAAATCAGTCATATTATACTGGGATTTTATACTATCTTGAACATTTAGGTTGTAAGAGAAAACACTTCAGAACTTTCCTTTTAGGTCCACCACAACATGAATTGCATTTACATGCTTCAGATTCTTTCCCCTAAGCACCTGCTTCAGCCTGGACTTGAACAAAACATGCTTTAGTTTCCCTTATTATTCTTTTGTTTGTTTGTTTGTTTGTTACAGGGTCTTGCTACACAGCTCAGACTCATAGTGATCTTCCTGTCTCAGCCTCCCCAGTACTGGGATTGCAGGCATGTGCCACCATGCCTCATTTTGGTGACTATTTGCTGCACAGCCAGTATGGCATGTGGTACCGGGGATTGAACCCAGTTCCTTCCACTTGCTGGGCAGGAGTTTAGACTGCTGTCTCCTCGGCTCTCCCTCATTATTTTTAAGCTCCAAAGTGTTGAACTTTTGACCTAAATGCTTACTGATAATCGTAACCCTGAAAAGAGGAAACTGTGGGTGAATGATTCTTTCAACATAGTATCCTTGCAGTCCTATCTTCTTCAGTTCTTTATGTATTTCTTAAAAAAATTCTCATATTCTTAGGCTACTCACATGCAGTTTTAGAAATGGAAAACATGAAAATTACAGATTTCAGTACAGAGGTAGCTATTGTCTAGTACTTTTATTTCAATGAGATTTTATTTGGTTAAGTCTCTTTTCTATGATGTTTTTTATTTTCTTTCCCATTACCATTTTGTCTTTATTCTTTCCTCTGTACCCACTGCTTACCTCACTGTCCTCTGTCTAACAGGTACTGCCTCTAGAACTTTTTTTTTGTCTCTAAAACTTTGCCATCTGTTCCTATCAATCTTTTATTTCAAGTATTGGCTTATGGGGAAAAATTAACAAATCATCTCTCAGATTATTTTACCCACACTCATCCTCTTGACATGTGGTATAAAGAGCCCAGGTTCTTGTGTCAAAAAAATGTTGCTTTTAACCTAAGCTCTATCATTTGTGAGTTCCTTTACCGTGAAAGAGATAACTGTCTTAATGTTGTTAAGACTGTATGTGTAAACTACTCTGTACACATCAGGTATTTGGTAAATATTAGCTGCTTTTCTTCTTTACATCTTATTTTTCAGATTTCTATAATGATAACTATATAAAGAATTTGACTAAAAGCCTTTGGTGTTTTACATGGGATTCAAGTTTTGCTCCCTAATTACATGATAAAGAACTTTAGAACCAGGATTGTGTTTTTAATTTTGTTATATGTGTAACTTTTTTGCGGGGGGGATCAGGGATCGAACTTGGGACTTTATGCTCACTAGGCAGGAACTTATGCTGCTGAGGTATCTCCCTGGCCTCCTACTTAACTTTTAAAACCATGTGAAATTTGTTTTCTTTTGTATTAAGGATCTAAATCCAGTTTTTTTTTCATTTATCTAATATGCTAATAGAATTTCCAAATAATTTATTTCCTTTCCTTTGTGCTGCCTACATGATGTATTATTGAAGTCATTTGCTTATATATTTAAATTTTCTTCAGTTCTTTGTGCTTTACCAAGAGCAAATTTGATTGTACCTTTACCAAATTTGTACCTTTGGTTATACCTTTACAAAGTTTAGATTTCTTTGGTTTTTTGTATTTGGAACAGGGTCTCACTATGCTGCTCAGACTTGTAGTGATTCTTCTGTTTTCAGCCTCCCCAGCACTGGGATTTCAGGAGTGTGCCACCTGCCCAGTCTCAGTAGCTGGCTCAGCAAGCCCAAGGGTGGGACCAGTTCAGCATGTGGTGCCAGAGATTGAACCCTGGTCCCTGTGCTTGCCTAAGCAGATACTTCAGTCCATGGAGCTATCTCTCTGGCCCTTTTTTTGTTTTTGAAATATTTTAATACCTGATGAAATAGACAATTTGTTTTTGAAGATCGTTCTATTCTTTGTTCCTTTCATCACGAAAAGAATTGGAAACAATTTTTATATTCTATTTTTACCATAGTTCTTTTCTATATTTTGTTGTTGCAATATTGATTTCAAATTTATATGTATATATGTATATATTTTTTTTTCTATGCTTGATATTGAATGCAGGGTGTTGTGCTTGCCAGGCAGGCACTGGGCTACTGAACTATGTTCCTGATCATTTTAAGTTTTGTAAGCATTTAGTTCTGTTAATTGTCCTTTTATGGGGCATCTTCCAGTCTACTTTTTTTTTAAATATTTTTTTAAAAAGAGCACAAAATAATATTAAAACAAAGAATTACAAGTGATACAGAATTTCACTTAACAAAGTAATATGAATTTCATAGTATATGTTGTAATACATAGTGTTGTCTTTTAACCAGTTATTCATATTACCAGATACATGCATGCAAAATTGGATAAAGAAAGAAATGTGTAAGAAATTAGGAAGAGAAAAAGTACCAACAATTGAAAAAAGGAGACAGAACAAATTAAGTATTATCTGCTCCTTTCTATTTCCAGTTTACTTTTAAACTTCCTTCATGTTACTTTATATTGTCACTTAGTTTTATGTTTAATGTGAGAATTATTTAGGAGTATTTAAATTTAAAAGTTTTCTTTTGGAAACTTTTTTTTACATT